GCAATGGCACAGTCTCGGCTCACTGCAACCTCCACCTCCCAGGTTCAAGTGATTCCCTCGCCTCAGCCTCCTGAGTAGCTGGGATTACAGATGTCTGCTAATATTATATTTTGTGACAGAGTCTGTCTCCCTGAGTGCTACAGTGCAGTGGTACGATCATAGCTCACTGCACCCTCAACCTCCTGGGCTCAAGCAATCCTCCTGCCCCAGCCTCTGGAGCAGCAAAGATTACAGGTCCTCCCCACTGTGCCTGGCTCTTCACCCATTCATGGATTGTGTATTGAGCAGTGACTATAGCCAACCACTCTGCCAGGTGCTGGGACACAGCTATGAATAAGAAAGACCAGGCCGGGCGCAGTGGCTCACACCTGTTACCCCAGCACTTTGGGAGGCCGAGGTGGTCGGATCACCTGAGGTCAGGAGTTCGAGACCAGTCTGGCCAACATGGTGAAACCCTGTCTCTACTAAAAATACAAAAATTAGCTGGGTGTGGTGACAGGCGCTGTAATCTCAGCTACTTGGAAAACTAAGGCAGGCTAGAGAATCACTTGAACCAGGGAGGCGGAGGTTGCAGTGAGCCGAGATCACGCAACTGCACTCTAGACTTGGTAACAGAGCAAGACTCCATCTAAAAAAAAAATAGGGCTGCCAAGACATCACTGAGGAGGTGACATTTGAACAAAGACCTGAAGGAAGAAGGGAACCAGCCACAGAAGAACCAAGGGAAAGAGAATTCCAAGCAGAGGGCATAGCCTGTACAAAGGCCATGGGGCAGGACTGCGCCTGGCATTTTGGAAGAACAGTGAGGTCCTGCAGGGGCCATGTAGACCATAAGGAAGACTTGGGCTTAGACCCTAAGGGAGGTGGGAGCCATGGAGGGCTGTGGGCAGAGGAGGGACAGGTCCTGACCCAGGTGCTCACAGGTGCCCCATGGTGGCTGCTTTGGGGGGACAGACTCTGGAACGAGGTGGAGGGCACTGAGCTGCTCCCAGTGGGAGAAAAGTGGGCAGATTTGGGATTGATTTTTATTTCTATTTATTTATTTTGAGATGGAGTCTCTGTTGCCCAGGCTGGGGTGCAGTGGCACAATCTCAGTTCACTGCAACCTCTGCCTCCCAGGTTCAAGCCATTCTCCAGCCTCAGCCTCCCGAGTAGCTGGGACTACAGGCATGTGCCACCGCATCCGGCTAATTTTTTTTTTTATTTTTAGTAGAGACGGGGTTTCACCATGCTGGCCAGGCTGGTCTTGTGAACT